GTGTGTGAGAGAGAGAGAGGAGGGAGGGTTACTGTACATGAAAAGGAGGATAGTGAGGATGTGAGGAGGATGAGTGAAAGTACAGTGCTTGTGTCTTAAAAGGTAAATCTGTCAGCACTCTTGCAGAAACCTTTGGTAATAGCTGCTTAACGGTTAAGTGCAAAAATGTTTTTTTTGTTTTGAGTGTGTGTGACTTCAGCTCCATCATAACCTCTTGTGTGAAAAAAATTGTTATGCTGGGGAAAAAAAGTGAGAATAGAGTGCATGTGGCTCTCTCTTTGGCAGACAATTCTGTACACCAACATACATGTATAGGGTGTGTGCATATAGACATAGGATGCACACACACACACACACACACACACATGCATTTGCTCTGCTGCTTCAATTAAAATGAAAACGATTTCTCTTATCTCTCTCCACACCCCTTCCTTTCTCCTTCCTTCGCGCACATCCTTGAGACACCGGACTCCAGGTGAATTTCAATGTCAAAGACACGAAGGTAACGCAAGCGCTGCAATCTGTTCATTCTGTCAAGTGGTTGTGTGTGTAGGTGTGCGCGTGCACTTTGCATGCGTGCGTGTACTGTATGTGCAATGCGATTGGTGGGGGGTAGGCCTATTCATCTGTCTGGTGTGATCGTGGCTCTCTGTAACTGGGCCTAGGCGTGAGTATGCACTCTGTGATCTCCCAGATAAGAGTCATCCATCTGCTGTGTGTATCTGTCAGGGCCCAGGCAGCTCCGCTTATCACTGCACTCATCCATTTCCCTCAATCATACTCACTCTATTCTCTTTTTTTTCTTTACCCCTCTCTGTTTTTCCCTCTGCACAGTTCAAATACTGTGCTTTATCTTGATTAGCTGACAAGCAGACAATCATGCATACGTGCACCGGGCTGTTGAAAACCTGTAAATATGCAGGTGACGTGTGGCCTCGGCAAATATGCATGCATGCATGGAAGTGCATAAAAGAATGCAAGCTTTCACAAACAAGCCTAGGTGCGTGTATGTGAAGAAACACACACACGCACAGGTAGTTGGTATTCAGGGGCCTTACCTCAACCTATCAGATTACTCACTAAAGATGTGCCTCAGAGAGCACCACAAGCCCTTTTCTTGTACACTTCGCAGGAGAAAATATCCTTCTCAGCATCAATCACACAGATGAAGAATGAGCCGCTGTGTGTTATCTTTTCATTTTTCGGTCTACAGTGAATCAGTCTGAGTAACAGATTCTGCTGAACTACTTTGTGAAACGTGAGAACATGAAGCAGCATGACAAGATGATTTGTGTACAGTAGCAACACTGGCTCAACCCAGGGGAGTGTAGTTTACACTGGAGAATCCATTTAGGCCTTTGCCACCCTACACATAACAAAGGCTTCACAGACAACCCTCAGACCACAAAGCAGCCCGAGGATGGCTTTGTTGTCCCAGCAATCTGTACTTAGTTTGTCACGATCAATATTGTAGGAACCAACCACATTATTAATTCATAGTCATAAAAACATGTTGTGCTCCGAGGGGGGCTGAATAAAGCTGCTTCAAAGAGGAGGCAAACACGGTGTTTCACATGGGATCATTTCATGGGGTATAATGTGTTTCCATCATCAGTATTAATAGTATATGCCCTCCTAGGCTGCATACCCTGGGTGCTGCTGGGCCTACAGCAGGACAGGTTTTTGCCGGTGGAATATTTATAGCTGTGCATTAAAAGTGGAATCAAGGGTTTAAGTGTACCATTGCAACACCGCTGCTGCTCCTTTGTCTGGGCCTGTCCAAAAATGTCTTGCCCGGGGCTATTTGCAGTGCTACATTCAAAATGTCAGATATCACACACTGCCGTCACATCAAAGATGGAATACATTAAAGAACAGCTGTATCTCAGTGGGTTTTGTTTGATTCTTCTCTTCAAGAAGAACATGTTGCAGCCAAGCATATCAGGGAGGTGAGTTTCATATAAATAAGTCACACGTGGAAGCTTTATTAGGGGTTTTTAGGACTTGAGAGTTGAGTGAAAGCAAGATTTAACTATTTACCACTTATGCACATCTAAAAGCTTAAATACTGGCATCAAAGTGCTATATGATATATTTTATTTACCTACAACCAAAATTAAGTCTAACAGATGTGAGGATAATGTGAACCACACTGCCATCTTGTGGTTCAATTATGCACAAAATACATAAATGTAGTTTTGTTGTAGAATTTGACTGTGTATGGAAACCACAACAGACGGCAAAGTGAAACAACTGCCTATTTTATTAGGTCTGAGTCAAAAGGTGGACATTTATCTTTAAGCAAACAAAATTAACCAAAGCAACAAACAATAAGGTATCTTTAAACTACAGTGTTCTATAAAACACAGCACACAAAATATAACTTTCTGATCATGTTTAGGAAAAAACTCCAGATTATTTGATAAATTCATCCATGGATCAAACACGTGTACTTGTCTTATCCAAAAGACAATGCTGAAATATTATTTACAAGTCATTGCTAAGAAAAGTAAGCAAATACAAATACTAATTTTGTTACAGTTCACCCCATAATGTTGCTGTGAATTTTAACATTTACTGACACTGTGCACAGAAAAAGCCTCGTAAGTAATGTAATCATCCTGTCTTACATTTCATGCTCGCCGGCATGCCATGATGTGAACGTGTAGAAAAACAATAATAAATATCATCTTTTCAAAAAGAAGATAACACAAATCTTAAAACACATTACATGAAAAGAAATCTTAAATGTTTTAGAAAGCAAATTAAGTTAAAATCTAAAGAAAAGAAAGTACAAAACTCAGCTACTTATTGTAGGAGTGTTACAAAAATGTAGGAATCCACAGAAACACTGGTCAAACTACACCATGATTTTAAACATCGGAGATGGTTTACAGATCGTTACAGGGGTGGATGTTGGTGTGCAACAAGACTGAACATATAGATGAAGAAGGAGAAACACAGGTAGCATATTAAAACAAAATTTGTTCCTATTTACTACAGTAGAGTACACGTTTCCTTATACACAGCCAACAATAACCAGAGAGTGAAAATGTCTGAAAATCAGTAATGTTCTTTCAATAAAACTACCACCATGATCATCCCTGAGAACAAATTTTGGTTCAGTACTGAGTGCATCTGAAATGTACTGTGATGATATCAATTTAGCTTCTGACACGTTTGTCTTGTCACGTCAATTCTTAAAAAAAAAAAAGAAAGAAAAGAAAAAGCCAAAACTTTGCCTTGAAATGACCACTAATAATGCCACTGTAGGTTTTCTGCAATATATGTTTGAAGAATTTGCAATGCAGATTTTAATGCCGACAAGTAGCGGCAGTCAGAATCTCACCGACACGCGTGTAGGCTGTCGTATGACGTTCCTCATTAAATGGAGGAACACTACTTTGTATGAACTGACAGGCATAATATGCCTAAGAACTGGTTTAGAAAAAAACATTTTGCAAAAAGTGAATTAGAGAACATCAGAATACACAGTACCGACTGTATAAAATAGAGGGAAAACATGCTGCCTTGGCTTTATTATTATAGTTAACCCTGATTTTTAAATGTTTCTATGTATTTTTTAGGTATAAAACAACAAAAACTGATATTCTGTGCATAAAATGACAATAAATTGCTCTGGTACTCCTCGCCCCGACCTAGGCATCCTCTTCATCTTCCTGGTTTCTGGTCCCTTGATGACTCGTCTTCATCGACATACACCATGTCTTCCTCTTCACTTCTTTTCAGGCATCCTCCTCTTCCTGCTCGCTGTCATCAGAGCCTACGGGACGAAAGACAGTTATAATTTCAAGGGATCCATGCTGATATGAAATATGACTGTAATTAAAACCCCCAAAACACAATTAAGCATTAATGCTCAGCCCGGTTGTAAAATAAAAAGCGGCATAATCAAAAAGTAGGAAGTATGAAAAACTAGATGAACCTCCACCCAATAGATTCCCGAACCCCGCCCCCTTCCCCACTGATTGTTTGTTGTGGTAGTGGGTGAATTTGCAACACTGCTGTTAAGAGTGGTGTCTTACCGTCAATCACAATTTCTCCACCATCATCCTCCTCCTCTGGGCTCTCATCTGAGGAGGAGATATTTCCTGTCTATTCAGTTTAGCCTGTATTACCCAGACGTTTCTATTACAGCTATAACACAAGCCAGTGAACTTGATGCTAACAAGCCCTCGGCCTCTCACTCACAACATGAACAACAGCAAACACTGTGGATTTCAAAACACAGAATCATTTTACAACAGCAATCCGCTGACATCCTCTCCTAAAATATGCTAAAAATAAGCTCAAAACATACAAATACATCTTCAGAAAGTCTAATTTAATGTGAAAAGTGTATCTGCATGACTAATTGTAAATCACTGGTCGCTGTACCCTGACCAGCCGCGTGGACCGGTGGGATTTTAGCTGTCTTTAAAGTTCTACTTTAACACTGACCAGCGCTTGGCCCCCTCTCCTCCTCCTCCTCTTCTTCCTCATCTTCCTCCTCCCTGCTGTGGCCTTGCTCAGCCTCGCCAGCTTCCTCACCGGGCTCGTCGTCTGAGTCGGAGATCACCACACAAAATCACTCCCGTTACCAGTTGTCCAGACCTGCTGCTGGCCGCAAAACAAAGCTGCCCCAAACCAACTACAAAAAAAAGACACACCACACCACCACCCACCACAAAAGACAGCACAACACACACACAAAGACACACACAGACGTACATTTATGTTAACAGTGCACAGTCGGTATGCATCCCACCTGGTCTTAACACCATGAAAGAAAAAAGAGAATAAATTCCGGAAACTGTTAAACACATAAACTATAATTTCAAGGCCCTGGGGCTGAGGATATTTCTAGAATTTATAGCTTAATAAGTGGTTTGTCCACTGACTTGTACACGTTCCACTGTATGCATCTGTGGATTGAATACACATGTGTTTTTACCTGCCGTTCTCCCTCGGTTCCCAGAGTGGAGTGAGGTAGTATCTCAGAGGGTCTCTGTACAGATCGTCCTTCAGTATCTAAACACCAGCAGAGATCATCAGGTCATTTCAGGTCAGAAATCACTTATTTTTTCTGAATGTGTGCATATCCCTGAATTATTTCATTCATTCAGTTTTTTCAACTTAAACTGGCAAGAAAGTTGAAGAAATGAAGAAATGGCATTTTGTTAAACCATTCAGACCTCCAGCACACAACTGGCACATTATTATTATTATGTTATGATTATTGGTTGTCTGCTGGGATGAAATGTTACAGAATTATTGTAAAAACACTGAAAAACAGATGCAGGCTCACAGTTCTGAGTCACCGCAGCAGCGCCCCTTTTTAACAAATGGGTCAAATCTTCAAAAAGGTGGCAAAGTTTATTCCAAGCCATCTTAAAAAGGGAAACTTTAGTATTTTACAACCTTGACCGTATTTTCTTGCTACTAATGGAGACAACAATTTTTGAAATTGGTGCAGTATTGAGCGAGAGTGCTGCAGCCAGCGGGTTTGACCTGACGTGTTAAATCAACAAAGTCTCACAATAACACAAACAAACTACGTAATCGAGGCAGCGGTAGACCAACAACTCCTGCGCTCAGGGAAAATCACTGCTTTTGTCTGGTGACTTCAAACAGAGCGATACATCGGCCGTCTCTGGTTAAACAAAATTGATCTTAGGTGCATCTCTGTAGGGTTTCTTAATGTTGTCAGACACTTATAACAATCTGAGTCCGTGGGAACAACAAGTGGACATACATTGATGGTGTGCAATTGCTCAGGATTACACTGCAACCCCTTTCACAGCTGCCGGTTGGTAAGTACTGGACCAATTTAAAAATAATTGTTATCCCCGTTAGTCGCTTAGAAAAAAAGGCAAAATAGTGCGTAGGTTAAAAAATACCAACGTTTCCCTTTAATGATCTCTCTGTGCTACGATCATGAGCCTTGGTCAGTATGAAGGTGCAGTCAGCAGTACCTGTGCTACATCATCTTGCCCTGGGTTGCTATGGTCACTGAACCAGCTGAAAAAGGTCTGGTAGACCCCACGCGACGACTTCCTGGGTTCGCTGTGGGCCGTCAGGTTCTGTCCGCGGTGCCACAGGATGGGGTTGGAGAAAGACATGGGAGACCCTGAAACATGAGCCGCCAGCGTTAGAAGGCGATCCAGAGTTTGACAGCCGTTAGGTAGCCTCAAAACACGATCAATACTGAGCTCTAGATGTTACGTACAATCAGAGGAATCAGTCACTTGGAGAGACGAAGAGGATTTCTCTCTTCCTCTGAACTGTTTTATATTACAAATAGCTGCTTTGACGTTGTGTGATGAAATCTTCCAATGCGATGCAACAGCCCCCGTCAGTCAATTTAAGAATTATAATACAATATTTTTGCTGCAACTGTCAAACCAAAAAGTGTTATATTCTGCCTCTCTTTATTTATATACATTAAATTAAGGAGTTTCTTCCTTCAGGCTGTGAGACTGTTCATCCTCAGCATTATATGTAAGTTTTATCTATTTATTTCTATGACTTGTTGACTTTGACTTGAGTTTTTGTATACATTTTCTTTCCATTTCCCAACCTAAATGTCATTACACAACCCTGCCTTGGAAAATGACAATAAAAACAACCATGTATCCTTGTATAAGAGAACACAAACAGCGACAATAGCGTCACAACAGTGTTCGGTTATTGCGGGTGTGAAGTTCACAAGTCTGTTGAACTTTCGTCCGTGGTTTTGTGGCCACGTACTCGTTACTTTCAGCCCTTTTTTGGCAGTCGTTCCAGAGAACGTGTTGCTATTTCTTTTTATTCCAAAGTACGACCGTATCCTGGTCGAAATGTAACGTTTCAGGTTGGTTTGCCGTTTTCTGACTGAGACGCCGCGCATGTACGCATGTAGTGTGACAACTATGCCTCGACTCAATCACCACATGCTTTTTTTTTGTTTGGTTTTTTGGTTTTTACCTCTCAACCCGAGGTGCAGCTCTTTCATGATGATGTTGTTCTGGAAGTACGGGTTCCGTCTGAAGTGGAAACGGATCCTGTAGCCTAGTTTATTATTCTTGAAGGACTCGATCTGAAAAACACACGAGGGGAATGTCTCAATGTTGCTACCAGGCGAACACAACCAGAGCCAGGCTTTTGTAAGAACACACACACCGACTCTTCCTACCTCCAGATCTGTCATGTAACTAAGAGCATCTTCATCGGTCTCGTCGATGTGAGCTGAGAGATGAGGGTGGTTCAACAGCTGGCACATGAAAAGTTAAAGGAAAAACAAAAAACCCCAATATGTGTTAACTCGAGTACTCAAAACACAACACAGCAATGGAGACACTTTCATTTTTAAAGGATACAGCTGTCACCCAGAAGCCAGGGATAGTTTTGGCGATGGAGCTGCGCTGATCCAGATGTGGGCGCCGCTGACGACCAATCTTCAGGTCCAGCCGTTGGTGGAGCCGGGCGCTCTTCTTCTCCAGAGCTTCCAGTCTCATCTGCACCTGCGCCAGGAGAGCCACCGACTGCCTCATCTCCGGGGCCATCTTAACTGACACGATGGCACACTCCCCATCGTCATTGTCCTCATTGTCTGATGGGAAAGAGGAGCTCGGAGTGGAGGATGATCCAGACATGGATTCATCGCCCTCGTCCGCTTCTGGCATGTCATCTGCATCTTCTTTGTCAGTGCTGTGCACAGATGTGGAGCTGTCCGCAGCGGCTGCCTGTGTTTTAGAGCCGGCTCTGGAAGACTGGTGGCCCCCGCGTTGTTTGAATTTGCTCCCCGGTTTCACCTGTTTAACCTTTTCAGAAGAGCAAGGAGTCTCTTGGCTGTCTTCCCCGTCTCCTCCTGTGAGACTGGCGAGTGCTTCAGCAGCTGCTATGGCTGCTGAGTCGGACTGGTCCAGAGGAGTTGAGGGAGGCAGCTTTGCCCCCGCTGTCTTCTCCGCGCCTCCCTTTGTGTCAGCAGCTCCCGATGCATCTGAGGACTGTGCTTTCTCCGTGTTGCCGGCACCGTGAGCACTGGAGTTGTTGACAGGTAGTGTGCAGGTGTCTGAACCCGGATCCGTCTGCACTGCAGCTGGGTCTCTCCCCGCATCCGTCGACTGGCCCACGACTTCTTTACTCTCAGCCTCGCTGTGTTTGCAGGGAGTAACCCCCGCCTCGTCTGACGCGTCGCTCACTCTCGTGGACTTGCTGGGGATCGTGCTGGCCTCGTCGTGGTCCGGGGATGGACACCGTTTCCTGGATGCAGAGTCAGCGGACCGCTGGCAGTCCGTCACTTCACTCATGCTAGCTGGATAGCCAGACAGCTAACGAGCCAGGTAGCCCGCAAAGCGACACGAAAACAAACTTAAACGAGCCGGACTGCGCCACCGAACTACTTATACGACCGCTGTGATTCTGTAACCCGTAACGTAACCTACATTGTCAGCGGGGCTGGAAGAGGAAGCAGCTCTTCTCCGTGTTTCTCCGCGGCCTTTGCGTTCCGCTAAAAAAAAAAAAAAATAGCGGGCTACTGCTAACGTTGGTTAGCTCACGTTGCGTTACGTTGATGGCTGCACCACATTGTTGTACGAATAAAAGTCCAACAAGCAGGACTGGGTCCAAATAATCAAACCTGCCCGTGCTGTATCGCCTTTATCGTCAATCCGCGTTATTTGTATTAGTTTATGTTTGCTTTATCCGTTAGCTTACTATCCTCGCACCGACGTGACAGAAAAACAATCCTCTGATTGGCTGACGGAGCGCCGCGCTAAAACCTCTCCACCAATCACCGACAAGTGTGTGTTTACATGGTAATCTATCTGAAGCAGGGGGTCGTACTGCGCAGCCGCGAACGGTTGACGGTTGTCGTGAGATCCAACGGCAGTTAATGTAAAATATTGTTCATACGTTTGTGAAGTTATATCTGAACAGTTTATACATTAAATATCGTCTTTAGTGCTTTTATGTCCCTGTCTGTTTGTTGACCTTTGAGCACGGCATATTAAAATGTAGGAACATTTGCAATTAATCACGTGTGTCAAACCAGATGTAAACAAGGATTTGGGTTTGTATGAAGTCAGTGGGTCTAACAGTTCCCTGTGTGATGGTTTATATGGCAGCAGGAATGAGTTTATTCACAGACACTGAGCTCATAATAACCTCCTAATCAGGTTTATACAGCTTGGTTTGTTTTTACCTCCTTGAAATGGTCATATATTATATATAGGCCTATATATCATTAGTGAAGTGCTTCAATTACTTTTGTTTTTGTAGTGCCATTAAATGAACTTGTGAAATGTTACTTCAGCACTTGGGCAGAAACATCAGGATGAGGTTAGGTCCTGATAGACCTCTGGCAATAAAACTACTTCCTATTAATTTGGTCACCCCCCAAAAAAAGGTAAATTGTATGAGGCCACATGTGTGGGATTATCTAACAACCACAGCATTAAAAGTGCACTAAAACTAAAGTAAATTATTAATCATAGCCTTGGTTAGCAGCAGGTTATTTGTTGTAACATAAACATGCATACAATAGAAATTAAATGAATTACTTGTAAATTTCCTTTTAGGACATTTAACCACGGTGATGTAACTCCATCCTGAAATAATTCCCACCTTTTAATACACTCATGCTGTCTATACATCAGTTTAAAAATGTGCCATACCTTAGTATGACTGGCAATCGGCCGATATGATATTACTTTAATATATCCCATTTCCAGTAGTGGGCGTTTAGCCAGCCCGAACCAAACGGAACAAGGGGGAGTCGCAGGATTATACCAATTTAAAAGACACATTTGGGGCATGGAGAACCCGGTAGGTCAGTGCTATAATTAGAGGCTGCTCCTTCCGCGACTGCAGCCAAATTGCGATGCATAAAGCCATGTAAACCAGGGGATACACTATCACAAGGGCTGGCAGTAAAGACACGTTTTCCGTGGGTGACATTTAACGCCACACTTTGACTGAGGAGGCTCTGTGCGTAACGCAGAGACAGCGCTGGATCTACACCGGCCACTGCTGCGCAAATCATGTGTATTTGGTAGTGTTTTTTTTTTTTGGAGACGCCATATGTAGCCTACTGTTCAGCGCAAAGCTTCCATGAGTGCACACCTCGGCAAAAATGTCTTTTTTAACCATACCAAGCCAAGAGGGCCTTTTTACCACGATTAAATCTGGCAAGGCAGGCGAGGAGGCAGATAGTAGGTCACGCATAGACGACGAGGATAATAATGATGATGATGATGAAGACGATGACACCGACGTCCACCTCATCCCGAGATGCTCCCCGGTACCCAGAAAGCGAGGCGCGTCCATCTACGATGAGACTGCTGAGTATATGCGGATCCACTTGGCGCTGTCTGCCGGAAAGAGAGTGTCATTCGCCGACACAACAGGTGGGGATCTGGTGGATGTGAAGGAATTCCTTGCCTTTGATTCGGACGAGGAAGAGGAGAACAGTGCGAGGTGGGAGGAAGAGGAAGCAAAGTATCGAAAGTCAGAGCGAGAACCGACCTATCGTGTGCAGCCAGAGTTTAACGCGCCCAGCGACAGTGCCCTGCTGCAGGCTGTGCACACTAATAAAGTGGAGGTTGAGCAGATGTCTCCAGTAGAGAATGAGCCACTTGCCTTCAGTGGGGTAATACGAGTCCTGAACATCTCCTTCCACAAAGCAGTTTATATCAGATCGACCATGGACAACTGGGCTTCTTACTTTGATCACCCAGCAGAGTATGTCCAGGGATCAAATGATGGGGACACTGATCAGTTCACCTTCAAGCTGTCTTTTGCACCCCCTTATATGACACACGGCTCCCGCATTGAATTTGTAGTTCGCTATGAAACCCCTGATGGCGATTATTGGGCTAATAACTCCTCTATGAACTATGTGGTAACTCTGCTCCTGTCCTATGAAGATGCTTCAGCTCAAACAAACATCGACATGCAGCAAAAGAGAGGTATCCTGAAACCTCCAAAAGCTTACAGGTAAATCTCCGATCACGTGTGCTTTCATTTGTCAGACACAGCTAGAACCAAAGGACACAAATGTAACAGGTCATATGTGCAATATTTTGGCCTGGAATTCCTTTGACCTCTGACCTGTGCAGATGATCTGCTCACTGTTCGTAGTAAAACTCAATCTGCTTGAAGGTGTCCAACCTTCTAAACCTGAAAAAGCTCAAAGGCACACTAATTTCTGTATAATAAAAGCTGTCAGACTCATGTAAGCCTAACCTCTGCACAGGTTTCATATTAGCCATCAAACCATATAAAGAGAGAGATGTAAACAAAGTCGCAAAAGCACCAAACAGTGGGGTTGTGCAACAGCTGCAGAGCTCCAGTTGCCTACTAATTCCCTTTGAGGTTTTGTGCAACAGGCATTCAGCTTTATTCAGTAGTTCTGCCCGGAGACTGCATTCAGCATAATAAGAAGTCAAATCTTAAGTAAAGCAGGATGTTGATAACCACAGACCCACTGTTTGTTCCACAGGGAGAGCTCATGTGTGAGTATCAAAGCAAGTCTTCGTAGAGTTTGTTTATGGCTGGTTTTGCTCTTTACGCTCTGCAGTGACGGATAGAACGAGTTTTGGAGAGAGTACACACCCCCTTCAGAATGCCAATCATCCAGTGGTGTGTGCGGGCGATCAAAATAGGCAAAGGGCAGGTGTCGTTTTCAGGCCTGACGTTTCCCTGCATTAAATTTACCTCTGACCTTTTCTGTCAGAGTCATAGGGGAGCAGAGCAATTTCAGTGGAGTAGATTGGCTTCTTTGCCCCATGCAGTTGGGAGACTGGCACACAAACCCTTTCTTCCCCGCTTTTTACTCCATGAAAGTCAACTAATCCCAGAGAGGAAGATTAAATGCCTGTTTTATTGTTACAGCAACATGAAAGTGTGTGATGAATCTCACAAGTGTGCAGGGACGGAGACAGAAGACAGCAGGAAAGATTCCCCTAGCTTATAAGCATCCATAAAAGGAGAAAACAGGGTATAAACTGATGTAGCTGTCATGTAGGTCTTCTCCGCTGTAGCTATTTAGAAGTAGGACAGGGCCAGATGGGTTGTTAGGGATGGATGAGTCACTGATTGAAAAGGAGGAGTTTGGGGAGTAGAAACTGTACCAGCACCCCCACCATAGCAACCATTATAGATTCATTAGGTGCTTTGAAGTTCGCTGATAATTGGATTTTAACACTTTAACAAGACGGTCAGTGGGAGGGAAGGTTACTATGAAACAAGTCTAGACGTATATACTAGTTACTTACTGCTTACTACATCCTTACTGTATGTTAATATCAATTATACATGCAGTAGGTTAGAAAAATCCTACTTCTGCTTTAGATTATATTTAACTGAAGTGTATCCACCCTAGGTAAATATAGATATCAAACGTTAAGGCAATATAGCTGATAGTGAATAGTGAGACTAGAGCAGGAACGATGCTGTTTTTCTATTTCAATGTCTAACATGATCACCAAATGATAAGGTTGCTGTGTTTCACCTCAGTCTTAAATCTTTTTTTGCATCAACTTGCTGCTGAGTCAGTGTAGAGTTTTTCAACGTGACCCGGGCCAAATGGGGCCGCATCTTCAGATAAGGCTCGATTAGGGCTAGCAGAATAAAAAAATAGATGTTTAAGTCTTTAGATCTGCCCATGCAATGTTTTCTTTTGACACTTTTGGACTCAGGATCTCGATTTTTGGGTTTGGACCAGACATGTGCCTGAGTGTCTTGGGTCACAGTAAGGCCCAGTTTAGACCTTTTATTAACATGCGCCCTGGGTGATGTGGACAGGTCTAAGTACAGGTGTGAATGTACCCAAGATGCACTGAGGACACTCTGAGATTCCATTCCATTCCGAGGTGGTCTTGGCCGCATGTGACCACATTCTTTTAGCTGTGTGAACGCAATGTGTCCCGGGCTGCATTGAATGCTATGTCAACCATGACATTTCAACCTTCAAAATGCATACTGAAAAGTTTTATGTCTGCTTCTTTCGGAAATCAATAAGTTCTTGTGTATTTGTAATTATAGTTGATGATATGATGATTTTCTTGTCATAATAGAGCCTGAAAACTTCAAATAAACCGGGTGCGCAGAGCTTAGCAATCAACGACTTCATATCAGCCGGCTTGTATAATGCAAAGATCTTAGTCGGATCTTTATCAGACTTTAAATCAGCCCAGCTGATATAAAACTGGTAGCGCAATAAGCACAAGGAGTATGAACAGCCTGCCAGGTTATCCCAACTCTATTTGTGCAGCTCCTGTCACATGCTCATCACACTTCTTGACCTTTATTTAATTTGGCATCCTCTGCAAGACTCTTGGCAATGTTGTATCCCACCCAGCCTCAAGTGCCTTCTTATAGAAAACATTTCTGCCTTATTATTTTGCAGATGATTTAATGATCAACTCTCTCTTCAGTTTATAAATATTTATCTGATGTAACCACATGTGAAAACACCTGACATGGGACGTGGATTATATGTAATTGAGAATATCCAAATATATAAATATAGCTGAAATAGCCCAATGTTTCCTCCAATAATTACTGTCTCACCCCATTTACATTTGATACATTAACTTCAATGTAGAAATATGACCTCTGCTGGCTTATATTATCCTTGCACTTTTCAGTGACCCTCATCCTCAGTACAAATTATCTTACTCAGTTATTTTCCCACCTTGCCATCTATTTTAACAAAAAGTATAATGAGATGGGTCATCGCTGAGGTTTTTTGGCTTTAAAACACTGTGCTGGTTAAGCAGCTCAGAAACACAACTGTCCAAAATGTACAACAGTACAAAGAGATACTCAGCCATGTTCAATTAAAATAGCCAATTCAGCACAGTACCAGCTGAACTGCATCAGCAAATATTACGCCTAATTATCCAGAACAGGTGTCGATGATGGTGTATGAACTCCTCCTTCTGCCATTTTAAATGTTCGTTAAGTACGTTTTTCTACACATTAAATATTATTTTAATAGTCAATTTCGGGATCCATATTGGTGTCCTTCCTTTTTCAGACATTGCCATGGTATTTGTCAGCTGATTCAGAAGCTGACGTTATAGCCCAAAATTAGTCTTAATGGACTAGTGTGCAGGATTTAGTGGCATCTGGCGGTGATCTTGCAGATTGCAACCATTTGAATATAGTTTAGCCTTCCAAGCATGTACGAGAAACTACAGGAGAAAAAAAATATCTATATGACATTTGGCTGTCTGTTTTAAAGAGTGTACTACTGAATAGTTTTGTCTTGTTTTTCTATTGTTTAATAACCCAAATGTCTCTCTTTTCTTTCAGTATGAATGATGATTTTGATTCAGAGGATGAGCAAGAAAAGGAAGAAGGTACAGTGTGAATAGTATGACAGCTGTTGTCACTATTGATCTTATAAAAAGAAGACATAATTAAACATGAATATAAAGGCTAATTATGCATGCTGGTTATCACACAGGATATAGAATGAATGAGTTTATTTAAAGCAGTACTCTGCAAGTATTGCACATCCATAAAATTGGCATATTCACAAGAGACAGATTAAAAAATGACAGGTAGAAACGGATGCAACAGATTCTGAGATGTACTAACAGTATAAATCCAGCTTCAGAAATGCTACATCCTACATTTCCCACAGTGTAGCTCAGTAGTGTCTTTCATAAGACTTTCTTCTTCTTCTTCTCCTGCTTCTTTCTAACCCCTCAGACTCCAGTACGTACTGCAGCCTTTCTGTGATCAAAGTCTTAAATTTGAGATGACCTTGATGAGTTCATCAGGAGTATTTTCTTTCCAAATTTTAGAAAGATATGACCTGGGGCACAGAAGACATTACACAAATGTATTCCTCTGTGGATTGCTCCTTTAATTGCCTATGTACTGTAGATAAAACATGCTGATTAAATAAGTCAAGTCAAGTTTATCTACATAGCAAGTTTAAAAACAACCAAAGTGCTGCACAAATTAAAGTGAATGGCACAAAAGTAGAGAATGGAATGACATCAGTTGCATAAATGGCACAAGTAGTAGTAAAAAAGCACAATAACAACAATAAATGGCAATGATAATAATAAATAATAATTGCTTTGTCTCTATTCAGACTAATTAGACTCTCACAGTGTAATTATCTATTTTACATCAGCAGAAGAAGCAGGGACCTCCAAGTCAGGACTTGTCAGGCCAACCGCTGTCTGCCCGGTCATCATACAGCCGGAGATTGACGTAGAGGTAAGGGTGAAAAATAGAACGGAATAAATTGTTAACCAACAGGAGGGTGCATCAGGGTTATCCTCTTCATGAACTTTCTATGACCTGCAAAAGTCAAAATTGTCCATTAGCACTTGGCAACAGAGGACACAGATTTAGCAAATAGCTTTTGGATTATGTTCAAATGATTTTGATTTGCATGCAGTTGTTGACACATTCCCATTTAACAGGTAAGCAGGCTAAGTGCTTTATCCCTTTATGCGAGTCATGTGTCTAATAAAACATAACAAACATTTCTGTTCAACTTTTAAATCTCATCATCAATGGCTTGGTTGTTTATATTGTTCACAGCTCATTGAAGCTTCAGCAACAACTTAGGTAACGTCTCGCTTCTCACCGCTGTAGCACGAGTACTGTATGCTATTTTCCTGGTCAGCTTCTTATTGTAGTCATACCATGATGCATGCTGTTCATGTTTTTGCACCTTTTGATTTTGTCCCCATTTAATTTGAATTCATGTCTTTTTAGTTTTAAGTGATTCAGATCACTAATATTTGTTCAGACCATGTGTAATCATGTAATACCCTTAATGCTGTTGTCATGGTGTAAATATTGAATTATTTGTATTGAAATGTCAGCGAAACTCATTTTAGACCACACACACTGTTGCACAATCGCTGTGACCCCAGTGCTATCTTAAAGGAAAGGTTTTTTTGCCATGAGTTAACAAATGATGAAGATTGATACTACTCCCACATCTGTCAGTTAAATATGAAGCAAAGCAGGAGAAATAGCTAGCCAATGGTAAAAAATACACCAACCCACACCTCTGCAGCTTACTAATTAACAGCCAAAGTTGTGTTTGTGACTGAGAGCAGTGACTTCCTAGAGCCTCTTCTTTCACAGTTGTTATGCTAAACTAAGCTAATAGTTTCCTATTTAATGAGCAGACAATGCAGCGGTATCGCTCTTCTTGTTTAACTCTTGGCAAGGAAACAAATAAGCGCATGTCCCAAAATGTCAAACTATTCCTTTAAATGTAGCATCACCACCAATGCTCAGTGCTACAATGTAGGCCCCTTTTTATCTTGGTTTTTGTTACAGTAAAATGGTGGAAGAGACGACTGTTAAGCTGCTTAAAACTAAGATTGCCAGGGGTCTTACATTAGCATTTTGGTAAGCAAAAGTTGATTTTGGAACAGTTCCATACATAAAACATATCAGACTTCTGTATTTCAGAAGAAGAGGAAGTTACAGCCAGTCAGCATAACACAGATTAAACAACCTCAGACAACATAACATGATAACATGTGATCTTGTATTAATTTTTTACTGATATATCTGTTAGGCATGTTCTCATCCAGCTCATCTTAATGTTTGTTTTACATCAGTATTCACATGCATGTTGTTTCCCTTTGGTAGAGCTTCAGAATTAAAGGTGAACCAGTCAACTACTGTATGAACATCAGCTCCTTCCAATTGGTAAATGTTTTCCTTACTTTATACGTCATCCAGAATCTAATTCTAATTTAAGGGTTAAACATTCAAATTTTATCATTCATTACAAATTAATTCTCAAAGTTTTGTGTAATAATTTTCAAGTGAAATGTTGTCAATTTAATTGCCAGGATCCACAGTCTTAATGGTTCACTTGCTGAGCATTCAGTTGTGGACAAAAGTTTGGTTTCCCTTCAGATTTTTACTCATTTTGTGGAGCTATAAAGTCATTTCTTAATAGACTTTTCTCTGAGATTTACACAAAGTGCTCTCTTGAGACAAGCTGGAAACTTGAGACGTAATTGGCATAAATTTATGAAGCAAATAACAAAAATTGCAGCATACAAAATCGTACATGTAAGTTTACTCCGTGCTGTTGTAATGATGTTTTGCCCTCAGAAAGGATCCCAGGTCACAGCTGGATTTTCGTCTGGAAACATGAGAATAACATAATCTTAACATATTCATTTATATCTAACACATGCTCTGTCTTAGCCCTTCTGTTATCTGTGTTTTATGTGTCTTGCTCTTGCACTTGTTCTCCTGGGTGCTGTTTTTTTGTTTGATATTGTTCTGATTTCATCTTCATTCGACCTTGGATGTTTTTTCACAGCCACTTCTCTCTTCTAGATTATTAGTTATTTTCCTTTTTTGAATACAAATAAAAGTGAAAATGAAAATAAGGTGTATTCAGGGATGATTTTAGTTCAAACAACCTCCCCACCCCTCAGTTCACTATGTGAAATTATGTACATAGGGGTAAACTTTAGTTCAGTTCAGCTCAGTTCAGATCTTTATTGACCCTCAAGGGGAAATTTGATTTCCAGTAAAGGGCAAAAACACAAACACAACATACAAGGGGACATTAGTCACAACAGTTACAGCAAACAGCATTGGTTTGTTAAAAGTATCAAACCATTGGAATGGTAGCCTCGATAAAGTGCTGCTGAGCTGTGCAGTCAATGTTCAGTGCAAGTTAAACGCATTAACTGCCATTGGGACAAAGGCACATTTTAAACCTGTTGCTTTTTTCCCCCGGGGGACCTGTGTCTTCACCCAGAAGGGAGAAGAACAAATTCCTCAGAGAGCGGGTGATCAGAGCTGGCTAAGATCGACCGTGCCTTTCACAAAACTTGTCTGATATCTGCTAAAGAAAGATGCTGTGTGCCAATTATTTTTCTGGCAACTTGTTTTGCACCGTGAGGTTCCCATACCAAAAAATACTGCAACAGAATTTGACTTACAGGTTTATAAAATAAAGCCATTAGTGAAGTCTCTGCAGGCCCTTTCTGCAGATAGCAGATGTGTTGAGATCATAGTTCAACTTGTCGATCACTGTTCCCAGGTACTTGTAGCACTCAACCGTCTCAACAAGTGAGCCCTTAATTATTGCTGGGAAGGTTAAGTGGGATGTTTTCCTGACGATGGCCATGTTTTTTTAGTTTTGTGAACATTTAACTTCAGGAAGTGGTTGTTGCACAATTAAACAAAGTCATTAAGACTTGGCCCCTGATCTGCCTCTCCAGTTTGGAGCAAACTGATCAAAACAGTGTAATCTGCGAACTTCCGAAGACGCCTGTCATAGCTACTTCTACAGTGATTTAGTATATTATAAGAATTGCATTGATCTCATTTTTTTCTCCTTTTGATGCACTTGTGCTGTATGTAAGTATCTTTGGACTATCTCTATCTGAACATTAGAATGTACTTTTTTGCCAATCATTTAAAGTGTCAGTCCCATCATACTGCTGTTCTTGTTTTGTTTGCCTTTTCTCACAATCACAATGTCAGCATGGGTTCCATCTAACAGAAAAGCATTAGTATGCAGTAAAATGCTTTTCTTCTCTTTGTGTGCAATGTTAAATGTAGAATACAAATCTTTCCCCTTTGTCTTTATCCTCTCCTAGCTGTCACTGTTGTCTCACTGTTTTACTTCAACAGATTGCAGTACACCCATCTGGTCCCTCTGTCCCTCCCAACCAAGAGCTTCCATCTGTTGATGGCACACTGTCCGCTCGCACTGTATCCCCAGGTGAACAATTCCCTTGTATGTCATCCGAAACCACACTTCAGACTAATTCATCCTTTGTACTCTGTGCCAGCGAATCAGTCCAGCCAAATAAGTCACAGCCTTTACCCAGACTCCACTGTGAATTAGGCAACCAAACGTCAGAGCAGCCCACAGACAGTAGTCCCTCTGCACTGCTGCCTGCTTCAACTCCTTCTCTACAACAAGAGTCAAGGCCGAGATCAGACAGCTCCCAGGCTGGCGCAGAGGAAATCCCTCCCTCAGAGGCCCCATGCGTGCATCTTTCAACCACAGAGACGAATCTATTGCCAGCAACAGGAGAGGACGGATCGACCGACAGCCCAGCCAGTCGTTCTTGTCTTAAACTGCCTGCTGAGTGTGTCTCTGCTCCCAATGTGACTCAGGGTTCTGAGCGAGACATTGCAGTGGGATTGAGTGAACTTGCTGCTGGAATATCAGAAGATTCCACCATGTCTGCAACACATCATGAAGGCAGCAAACCTGCAGTCCTGTCTCCTGTGGCTGAGAGTGGGGCGTCTCTGGGAGCAGAAGGTGAAGCTCCACCATCACCCAAACTCACAGAGAACCCCTCAGTGAGTGCAGGTATCACTGAAGTGAGACAAAACTTAGCTTCTCAGTCTGCTGATGCTCCCCAGATTTCCCCTGACACATTATTAGAGAATCTACCAAACACATTGTCAGAGGTTTCCGAGCTCCAGTCTGAGCATAACGTCAACAGGAATCTGATGTCATCCGTCGTCTTTCTGAGTGGAGTTGTCTCCCTCTCGATAGTGTTGCAGGAACCCAGTGCACTCTTCTTAATTGGACTGCTTTTGGTCTTGCGCCGTTTGTGATTATGCCATTTTGATCTTAAGTGCCTTTTCATGATTCCAAAATAAGCCAACAAGTTAAAAAAACAAACAAAAAACCACTCCTGTTGAAGCTGTGTATCACTGTGTGATTTTCTTCTTTTTAGATTAATATAGATTTTCATCTAATGAAAGACATATTGGGTACAATTTACGAGTATTTCCATCCAAAGTCCAATATAAGGGGAAATTACAAATACTGATGATATTTTCATGCATTCTGTCAAACAAGTGTTAACTAATAGAAAAGTAGTTGATTGTTTTCCCATTTCTACAACAACATTGTGATCACTCTAATACTGAAGCATATATTACCAGAGATGTTTTGTAAGTGGTCTGTATTACTTCTTTCTTGTCATGTGGAGATGTGTGTGTATGTGGTGTTATATTCTGATTTATTCAATCAGTCCTGTAATGCACTTGTTTTTTTTGTTTTTTTTGATTGTTGATGTAGCTAAGGGTTGTTGTCTAACCACACTGCCATGAATTTAACTTTTGTGAATTCCATGTTTTATTATGTCTTTATTAAAGGACAAAAAAAACATTACCATAGTTGGATACTAAGGAGACTTGTTATACAAATGGTATTTTGTTTACAAAATGCAAAAGCAAGACATGGTTGTGTGAAGTATTTTGCCTTAATGCCAAAAAAAAAGAATAACTGATGACCTTTTGTGAATATCAGTTTGAAATAGATGCTACTTGAGGGACAAAACAAGTGAAAAAATGTCCAGTGTGAAATGTGAAAGAGATATTTTATCATTAAAGAGCACCGGCCTCCTCAACGTCTCCTCACTATTGCACAGAAGTCTTCCTGTTGATTCTTGCTAGTAAACCCATATTGTTGTTGCACAACACAGAATTTTAAAGCACTCGTTTGACAACCTCACAGACAGACTGAAGCATTGAATGACATGTTTGAAGTGATGAAAATGTTTGCTTTTTGCAGTGTATTTCCATTAAACATGGTCTTATACCCTGTCCTGCTATGAATCTTTATTTCTTTTTCTTTTCATCCACTCTGCAAAAGAAAAGAAAAAATCTCAGTTTCATGCACAGTAATGACACTGCAGTGCGAAGCAGGAAATTCGGAGAGACTGACAGACACACCACAAAAATAACATCAGAGCCTTTAGTGCCTCTGTCTCTGGAGCGCATTCAGCTTAGCTTGAAGTGGAAATACACAGACAGCAACCTGAGCTGCAGATAGAAGCCAAAGGTCACGCATTGCACTGAAGTCACAGTGTCATGCTAGAGTACAGTACACACTGGCCATTATAAACTGAGATCAGTGTTTGAAGGTTGTCAATTCTCGGGAAACCTCCTCAGATGCCGCATGATGAGATGTCACAGACTATTTCTGATAACAGTCGTGGTACGCCAATATCTTCAATACATTATCTTTATTCTCTGAGCCTTTAAGAGTTATATAAACCACTTCAGTGTTTTCCTGGTGCTGTATCTCATGTATTAACTTTATTAACTTCAAACCCACAAACGTCCTTGGATGTCAGGTATGCTTTGGATTATGTGGATTACGTATTTGGCCTTAAAACAAAATTATTAATCAGAGCACACTTGCATTTCATGGACTTTCATGCAGGGGAAAAAGGGTGGGAGTGATTAATTTGTGTGATGGTCACATAGCTTGAGTGTGGAATGTATTAAAAATTTAAGCAGACTTATAACTGACCCAAGGAGGATAATCAGTGTGAATTTCACCACAGACATTTACTTTGAAATAATTAATGCCTTTTTAAGCAATACACCACAGAAAGCCGTGTTAAGCAGCGATTTAAAAAAAAAAGGTTCTGTGGGTGTTGTGACATTATTACCAAACAGCAGTTTAAGGGGGGGATTTTTTCTTTTCTTTCTTACCCAGTGTGATTTCACTCAGTGGGGAAGTTTAGCCTGTTCAAATGGAACTGTTTCATCACAAGAAACAGCTTTTTACTTAAATAACATCTTTGACAGCAAAATCCCTCAAGACAAGACAAATCTTGTTTTCCATAATACCCCTCCTTCAACATGTCATTGTATTCCAAAAGAATTATCACCCACAGTCCCTGGATGTTTATTCGTTTTATCTGGTCCATCACAGCCATCATTTAGCCCATATTTGACTGTTCAGTACATTTGTTTGAGTTTGTTTGACTGAGACAGAAATCAGTTCAGTCCTCAAGGTCACAAAACTACACATCATGAAATTAATTTTAAAAAAAATCTTCACTTTTAATATTGAATAAAGCCTTTAAAAACCTTGCATATTTGTTTTTTTAAAGAAATGAAACGACATCTTTTCAACATTTACCTTTAAACCAAAAGTAAATGTAGGCCTGCTGCTTATCCGACAAGCCATCTTATCAGTGGCAATCAGCTTTCAGGGCATAAATGTTAATGCTAATCAGTTTACTATATTGCTCTTTCTGAAATGCTTGTTTTTTTTTACTGTAAGCGTAATGTTGTTCGATTGTTACCTATCATACGGATTATGTTTTGGGTTTGTACATTAATACTGTACACAACACTTTTAGGGCATCCTTAGGGACTATGATGCTGACCATGTAATTGTGACGTCCCTGCTCCTTGCCCCCCTTGGGCACTCCATGTCCCGTCACGTCTCTGCTGTCTGGTAACAAATAAATGCAAAATGGCCCCCAAAATAACACTTAAACTCAATATAAGACTACTGGGTGTTTTACATGGAGTTTAAGGGTGGCTCAGCCAGTGAGATTATGAGTTTTGTAATTAAAAAAATGACTCCAGGGGATAAGATAAAACTATAATACTGAAATAATTGTATACCTCATAAAAAATATACTATATATACATAGCCAACATTAGTGGTTCTCAATCCTTTTGGTCTCAAGGACCCCCAAATTGATAAATATCAGTGCTAATGTAAGCATGCTAACCTGTACACAATAACAATGCTAACATGTTGATGTTTATCAGGTTCACCAAGTTCACCCTCTTAGTTTAGTTTGCTAGTATGCTGACATTAGTCGAAAGTACAGCTGAGGCTGATGGAAATGTCATGTTTTGACCTGATAATGGTACCAGATGAAACTTTAGCAGTTTACCACAGTTGTTCATCCTGAAGGGGACATTAATATGTACCAGTTACATGACCATACAGTTGTAGAGACATTTCACTCAAAACCACAGGAAAAGTCTGGAGAATTACCAAAATATTTAGGCTTTGTCCTCTGGGGAGCATGAAAAGAAGGCACAAAAGTTACATGTTCAACCATAATTGTTAAGATGTTTTAGTTTGGACCAAAGTGGTCGAACAACCAACATTGTCATCCCATCCAATATACGTACATTTTAAAATAACAGGATTAAATGAAAGTAAAAACAAAACAAAACAAATGATGGTGCAACATGAATGAAAGCACCAGTTACAATGAATTAGGCCTGCAGGTCGGTACCCCCACCAGCCAAAGCTTTAATGGGGGGTCATGAGGCCTTCTTAATGATAAGGGGTGTAAAACATTTTAAAAATATACACATGGGCCTATATCTCAGCATTTGGTTCACCTATGTGAAGAAAAGTAAATGGAAAGTAAAGTAAGAACAACAGTGAAACTGTAAAAAAAAAAAAAAAAAAAATACATGCAAAATTTCTCATTTTACACAAACTTGTTGCAGTTACTGAGTTCACTATTTGAGGTTAATTGTACAGAATTTGAATATAATATGAAATATCCATAATTTATGTCAATTAAGCAAAGGTTGTGAGTTTAATAAATGGTAGAGAAGGGGTCCCTTAAGGGGAAAGGAATTAGGCAGTAAAATAAACTATACATGACATTGTGCATCTATGATTCAAATTACAAACATATAAAGCCTCAATAGAAAATACAAACAGCGTATTCTCTATGGGACGATGCTTTATTCTCACGGAAAATCGAGTTATATTATTTTACTCTGAAAAACAGGAGGCCCAATATTCATCCAGAGGACCCATAATTCCTTGCTGCTGCCCTGCCAGGCCCTGTCTGTGTCATTTTAGGGGGTCCAGTCAGCCCAGTCTGTCACTAAGGGCAGGAGACCAATGAAAAACATAGTTTGTTGACAGCTGGAGCTCCTCGCTGTAGAAAACAAACGCGTCATACATGATGCCAGAGAGCGATGGTTAGAATAAAACATCACTTTCAAGTTATGCATGGCTCACAATGCTGCACAGGTCCGCCTCTCTCTCTCTCTTTCTCTCTCTCTCTCTCTCTCTCTCTCTCTCTCTCTCTCTTTCTCCGAATAAAACCGACGGTTTCCGC